AGTGAACCTGAAGGGGTGAACCTGTGGGGCTGTAAGGCTTTGGGAGGGGCTGAACCTGAACCTAAGGGCTTACCAGCAGTAGCGGTGAGGGGTGGGGTCTGTGACTTGTAAGACAGGTCCCAACCAGTGGCGAGATTTCAGAAGGCGGACCATGAAAAAAAAACATGAGATGCAAAGAAAGCAGAATGATGCTCACTTAGCTGTGGGTGGGTTGGGTGGAGAGCAGCTGCTCCTGTGCACTCCATGTCCCCCGTCACTGCCACTCCCGTGTGAGCGACCTGCTGGGACGAGAGGGGACAGATCGGGACAGAGAGACGAAGGGAGGGAGGGGGGAAGAGAATGGGGAAGTGAAAGGGGAGCAGAGGAGTGGGGAGGGTAATGAGGAAAAAAACAAAGTCGAGTGGAGTGAAGGAGAGCGAAGAGTGCAGAAAGTGCAAGAATGGTGCGTGTATGAATGGACTGCTGCAGTGGCACACCCAAGAGACCTCGTACCAGCTGAACCAAACTCAAACGAATACCTGAGGCTGTACCAAAAGAAAAGATACCTGCTACCTTGGGGGAGGGAGGTCTCATGGGTGTGACAGAGGGCAGTGAAAAAAGGAGTGTGATGCACGGTGCAAGCATGACATAAAAAGCAACACAGTGCGAGGGCTGCGAGAAGGGACGAAGGGCGGGGTACTTAGCTCTGGGTGGGTTGGGTGGAGAGCAGCTGCTGCCTGTGCACTCCATGTCCCCCGCCACTGCCACTCCCGTGTGAGCGACCTGCTGGGACGAGAAAGGGCAGATCGGGACAGAGGGAGGAAAGGGAGGAGGGGGAGGAGAAAACCAGGGAGTGAAAGGGGTGCAGAGGAGTGGGGAGGGTAATGAGTGAAGAAGAAAAGACGAATGGAGTGAACGAGAGCGAAGAGTACAGCAAGGGCAAGAATGGTGCGTGCATGAATGGACTGCTGCAGTGGCACACCCAAGAGACCTCGTACCAGCTGAACCAAACTCAAACGAATACCTGAGGCTGTACCAAAAGAAAAGATACCTGCTACCTTGGGGGAGGGAGGTCTCATGGGTGTGACAGAGGGCAGTGAAAAAAAGAGTGATGCACGGTGCAAGCATGACATAAAAAGCAACACAGTGCGAGGGCTGCGAGAAGAGACGAAGGGCGGGGTACTTAGCTCTGGGTGGGTTGGGTGGAGAGCAGCTGCTGCCTTTGCACTCCATGTCCCCCGCCACTGCCACTAGCGTGTGAGCAACCTGCTGGGACGAGAGGGGGCAGATCGGGACAGAGGGAGGAAGGGAGGAGGGGGAGGAGAAAACCAGGGAGTGAAGGGGGTGCAGAGGAGTGGGGAGAGTAATGAGGAAAGAAGCAAAGACGAGTGGAGTGAAAGATAGAGAAGAGTGTAGCAAGTGCAAGAATGATGCGTGCATGAATGGACTGCTGCAGTGGCACACCCAAGAGACCTCGTACCAGCTGAACCAGAATCAAACGAATACCTGAGGCTGTACCAAAAGAAAAGATACCTGCTACCTTGGGGGAGGGAGGTCTCATGGGTGTGACAGAGGGCAGTGAAAAAGGGAGTGTGATGCATGGTGCAGGCATGACATGAAAAGCAACACAGTGCGAGGGCTGGGAGAAGAGAGGAAGGGCGGGGTACTTAGCTCTGGTTGGGATGGGTGGAGAGCAGCTGCTGCCTGTGCACTCCATGTCCCCCGCCACTGCCACTCCCGTGTGAGCGACCTGCTGGGACGAGAAAGGGCAGATCGGGACAGAGGGAGGAAAGGGAGGAGGGGGAGGAGAAAACGAGGGAGTGAAAGGGGTGCAGAGGAGTGGGGAGGGTAATGAGGAAAGAAGCAAAGACGAGGGGAGTGAAGGAGAGCGAAGAGTGCAGCAAGTGCAAGAATGATGCGTGCATGAATGGACTGCTGCAGTGGCACACCCAAGAGACCTCGTACCAGCTGAACCAAACTTAAGCGAATACCTGAGGCTGTACCAAAAGAAAAGATACCTGCTACCTTGGGGGAGGGAGGTCTCATGGGTGTGACAGAGGGCAGTGAAAAAAGGAGTGTGATGCATGGTGCAAGCATGACATGAAAAGCAGCACTGTGCGAGGGCTGGGAGAAGAGAGGAAGGGCGGGGTACTTAGCTCTGGGTGGGTTGGGTGGAGAGCAGCTGCTGCCTGTGCACTCCATGTCCCCCGCCACTGCCACTCCCGTGTGAGCAACCTGCTAGGACGAGAGGGGGCAGATCGGGACAGAGGGAGGAAAGGGAGGAGGGGGAGGAGAAAACCAGGGAGTGAAGGGGATGCAGAGGAGTGGGGAGGGTAATGAGGAAAGAAGCAAAGACGAGTGGAGTGAAGGAGAGAGAAGTGTGCAGCAAGTACAAGAATGGTGCGTGCATGAATGGACTGCTGCAGTGGCACACCCAAGAGACCTCGTACCAGCTGAACAAAACTCAAACGAATACCTGAGGCTGTACCAAAAGAAAAAATACCTGCTACCTTGGGGGAGGGAGGTCTCATGGGTGTGACAGAGGGCAGTGAAAAAAGGAGTGTGATGCATGGTGCAAGCATGACATGAAAAGCAACACAGCTCGAGGGTTGGGAGAAGAGAGGAAGGGTGGGGTACTTAGCTGTGGGTGGGTCGGGTGGAGAGCAGCTGCTGCCTGTGCACTCCATGTCCCCCGCCACTGCCACTCCCGTGTGAGCGACCTGCTGGGATGTATGGGGGCAGACCGGGACAGAAGGAGGAAGGGAGGATGGAGTGGAGAAAAGTGAAGGGGGTGCAAAGGAGTGGGGAGGGCAATGAGGAAAGTAGCAAAGACGAGTGGAGTTGAAGTGAGGGCCGAGTGCAGCAAGCGCAAGAATGATGCGTGCATGAATGGACTGCTGCAGTGGCACACCCAAGAGACCTCGTACCAGCTGAACCAAACTCAAACGAATACCTGAAGCTGTACCAAAGAAAAAAGATACCTACTACCTTGGGGGAGGGAGGTCCCATGGGTGTAACAGAGAGCAGTGAAAAAGGGAGTATGATGCATGGTGCAAGCACAAAAAGCAACAGAGTGCGAGGGTTGAAGAAGGAACTTAGCTGGCGGTTGAGGATGCACCGAGAGCCGATGCTGCTGCCGCGCGACTATTGCGCCATGCCACGAATCTCGGACCAAGATTTCGCCATGCGACGAATTGCGGACGACGATTTCGCCGGTCGACAACGCGCTGTCCGCGATTTTACCGTGTTACAACGCGCGTACGACGATTTCGCCCTGCGATGACGCGCGGACGACGATTTCGCCGTGGTACGACGCGCGCATGACGAATTTGACGTGGTGCGACGCGCGGACGACGATATCGCCATACGACAATGTTCGGACGACGACTTCGCCGTGCGACGACGCGCGGACGATTGCGGTAGCGTCGTCAGTCGCACCTGAATGTGGAGAACGCATCAGTAACGGGGAACGACGGTTTCGGGTTGTGACAACAACGAGGCTCAGGATTCTGGTGCATGGAATGCAAATCAGCGGCAGGCAGCAATGAAAGAAGTAATTATGGCAACTCAGCGGAACAACAACAAAGGCCCTCGTAAAAAACATATCGAGTAACGTGTGTCGTACCGAAGAGTTCGCGGAGCAGTGTGCGGTAAGCGCGGAAGCACGCGGGACGAGTGGTCGGCGAAATTGTTGATAGCGGCCAAATCGGAACTGCTGACCGTGGAAATCGCCGCTGATGGCGGAAAAAACTGCAAACGGCGAGGTCACGGCTGACGACGGTAATCGCGGCTAACGCCGAGAATTGTTGCAAACAAGAGGATGTCCGAGCGTAGGCTTTGCCAGGCGAACTACAGAAACCAGCAACGAACGTGTAATCAAGCTTCAAGGCATACGCGAGTGAAGGAATGCGCAGGTTGCAGTGGCGAGATTGAGAGAAGGATGTGGATGGAGGTGAGAAGAATTGAGTTCTCGAAAAATATGGTCGAGTGGGAAGGGAAAGTGGAATGCTGCTGCTCAACTCAATCCCCCCCCACCTGCTTGTCATGCCCTTTGATGCCTGGCTTGACAGAAACTCAAATGTTGACCTCGGTTGAGAAGGTTGTGGAAAGGTTTGGATGCCTCGTGTGTCTGTTTTTTCCCAGTTTCTGCTGGGTCCCACAAGGGCTCAGCCCAGCCCAGCCGGAGCATCCGAACCAACCAATCCCAGGGTGGGCCAAGCGGCGGAAGAGGAGACACCGCCGACAAGATTCGCGCTTGTGTCTTTCCGCGAGCGCGTTGACTTTCAAAAGTGGCGGAGCGACGGCCAACTGCACGAAGGATTTTCCAGATACGAACAGCATTGGCGACGATGGCTTGTTCGTCGTTGGGTACAAAGTGGTATTTTTGCTTTGACGAATGACTTTCGCGACCTTCGGGAGTTTCGCCGCTCCCGTAGATTCCAACGGTTCCGGTTGCATATTCGCGGGCTGGCGGATGCGCTCCCCAAAAATTCTGACACACCACTGGATGTTCGCAGACCGGGGCTGCTGCTCCAACGGATTGGCTGCGGGTGGCGCAACACGGGGGAAATCGTGTTCGAGATGTGCTTGATCCAACGGACCAAATGACATTGAGCAGAACAGATTAGAACCCCAATTGAATCTCATATTGATGACCCAATATTCGTAAACAGCAGCAACCCCACCATGACTTCTTATACCGTATATGAATTGGAAATCATTATTCACTTCCACTCCAGGGAAATGGAGCCCCTTGCCAATGAACCTGGATGCATTGCTCGTAACCATATGACAGATATGACTTTCGGTTCGCATTTTGTGCTGAAAACGACAAGAAGACACAAACAAAATACTAAACTTACTATCTCACTTGGAATGCCATGAATCATGATACTACAAGTGCAGTGCGTGATCCAATGCTGGTCCTACTGTATCTCCCTGAGCTCTGATGAACCACAGGTGTATAAAACTGTGCACTTGGTTGATCCATACACTTGAATTGGAAGACACGAATGAAGCTGCTAGAAGCGGTTGCTGGAGTTGGAGAGGCGTACGTTGCCTGCCTGCATGCCCACCTTCCTCTTGCGATGGTACACGATGGGACCGCACACTGCCAGTATTGCCAGCATGATGCCCTGCACACGTGCGTCCATGCGAGAGTCAGGACACGGAATCGATTGCACAGAAGCAACATGGATGCGAAGGTGCAGGAAGGGAAGCCACGTGCAGGAAAAAGCAGCGCGCGCAACGGCAGCAATGAAACAAGGAAACAAGAACGGAAGGAGTGGGTGCGATGCGCGAGCGCCATATGCCCATGTGAGTCTTGCGCCAGCAGGGCTCACCTCAAAGCCAAGCACAGAAAGCGTCTCCACTTCAGGCTTGCATGACTCGTACGTGAGGAAGCGCCTCATTCTCTCTTCCCCCACCCCCTCCCCTGCACCACTGCCAGTGCTGCTGCCTCTGGCGCCTTCCTCCTCCGCGCTGGCTTCCATGCTGCTCACCCGACCTGCTACCTGGACCGTTCTCACCTCCCCCAGTAACCGCCTCAGCAGATCCCCTTCACCCCCCCCAGCCGTCCCTTCCCTCTGCCCTTCCCAGCTGACTTTCTCCTCAAACTTCTCACTTGTCTCATTCTCCATTGTTCCATCTCCTCTGGCAGAAACAGAAACCTCGTGGCTGTTTCCCAACCAATTGCCTTCTTCCCCCCCCACAGCAAGCACTCCTTCCCTGAATTCCCCTCCTCCGACCCGTTCCTCTTGCAGCCTAACCCTCCTCGGACCAGTCCCAGACAACCCACCTACCGTCTCGTCTACCCTCTGCTGCTCACCGCTACCAAGGCCTTCCCCACTACCTCTCTCACTACCGCTCACCCCACCCGTTTCTTCTTGAATTCTTCGCCCACTGCTCCCATTGCTCCCACTACGTTCGCTGCCCCCGCTGCGCCCATCAGAACTAATCTCCTGCGCTTCTCGGCCTTCCCCTGCCCCGTCCTCTCCCCCTCCCACCTGCAATTCCCCGCCACCCTCACCCCCTGCGCCATCCATCCCGTCCCTCCCCCTGCCCGACTCCGCCTCTCCGCGCGCCTGGCGCGCGCCCCGCACCACTCCTCCCCGGGGCTTGGTAGCGCCGGCAGAGCGGGCGCGCGCGGACGGGAGCGAGGAGACCGCGCCACTGTAGCGCTCGATGCAGGAGATGGCCTGACGGTAGCCCGTCGGCTGGCACGCGGGGTCCTCCACCTGCGCGGAGGGGGGGGGGGAGGGGGAGGGGAGGGGCGGAGGGGAAAGCAGTTGAGGTGGGTTGAATAGCGATGTGAGAGATGCAGGGACGGAGAGGGTTGTCGTGGAGCCGAATGAAAGCGTGCGGAAGGGGGGTGGGAGGAGGGAGAGGAAGGGGGAAGAGGGGAAAAACGCCAGAAACGTACGAAGACCGACGATCAAATGGAAGCGGGGATCGTTTGGGGCAAAAGCGCGCGAAGCACGATCGGAGCCAACCTTGGCAACATAGAGGAAAGAACTTGGACAAAACTTCGAAACTCAACGGCTAGACATGGGCCGTGAGCAAGGCTACCTTCTGCTGCTCGGTGCAGATAAGGCAAGCGCCGGTGACATTGCACTGAGTACCCGTGGCCAGTGGATCCATGGCTCGCCCTTCCATCGCCTCCCCTACCCCTTCCCCGTTCCCGTCCCCCATCCCCGCGTCCTCCTCCGATTCATTTCCTTGCGATGAAGCCGCCGATGCAGCAACCGCCCTGCCATGATAAAAACGGGTATGAAGATGACGCGTATGGAGTGTATCGAACGATTGTTTAAGGGTACAAATATTACTGGTAAGATTGCTCGAAATATCCAATGGCGACAGGGTTTCGATAATCCCTGCAGATCCTGGGATTCTTATGGCAAGGACTACTACTCCAACATCATTGCTTAGTCGAATGATCACTCCTGATTCCGATTGCAAACCTGCAATGATTACACCAGTCGTAAGTCTATGCGAAAGAGGAGGGAGCGTACCGTCTGACGGAGGCGTTGGTTCGACACAGTGACGGTACGATCAGGAGACCAAGGACAAGGAGGATCAGCGCGATCCTACGGCCCATAGCTGCTGTTGAGGAAGGACGATCAAGGACGGGTTGGGATAGCTGGAGAAGCGAGAAGTGCTACGTCGATTCTGTGCAACAACGAGACTCCATATTGGAAGCCATTAACCGCAACTGGTCACCCGAAGAGGCTAAGGTACAGTTGACGACTAAGATAAGTCGGATTAGTAGCAAATTCAGGGAGCACAAGATACAATCTACAGTGTCAGGAAGCAATTCGGGAACCCAGTTGCCCGAGCCGAGAGTCACCACGACGTGGTACGAAGTCGTGAATCGTGTGATTCATGAAGGTGGCAGATGAGCACCAGAAACGATGTGCTTCTACGAAGTCTTCTCAGAAATAAAAAGTGCCATGAATAAGGAATACTTATTCCTGACATTTAGACATAGTGCGAATTATCAAGACCCCTACTAATGCATTGAACAGAGCTGACTAGGTTTTTTATTTCGAAATATTATAGCCTTAATGATTAATTCTTATTTTGAATCGACAAATTTTAAGATAATGTAGAGCTTGATATTTATTATTGGCTTTAGCTTGGATATAATCAAGTTGCACGGATATAGAGAAAGAGACATCTCAGAATGCTTGAACTTGCCGTGAGTCAAACGCATCCCTGGGGACCACAACAGCGAGAACTGTCACCCCATGACGATATGCAAGCGACTGCTTGTGCCACTAACGCTGTGGCCGTGTCAAAACAGGTACTTTTGACCTCACCAGCCCCAGGATCCCAGCAGAGATCACACGTGGCAAACCTCAAGCCGTCAATTCGCGAAAAGAACACACCAGCAATGTCACTACAGAGGGCAGCTCAGGCGCATTCTCCTGTCACTCCAACGCGTCAACACGTCATCGCAATGCATAACCCTAGACCGGAAACCAGCTGGCTCAACCGCAACTCCACCGTCTCAACTCCAACTTCCCCGCAAATTCAGGGCTCGGATGGGATGCCTGCTAGCTGGGTCCATCCGTGGGATGGGAGCAGGCGCATGCCTTGAAAGCTCCGACTGGATGCTGTCGCCATTGCATACCGTCAAATCAGCTCTCTAATCGAACGGAACAAACCGTAAGCCGTCACTTTCAGTCATCTAATTGCGCTAGCTTCATATTCAGCCAATACGTTCGCCCAATCGGTGAAGTTCCCATACTGTTTTCCAAGCTGTTAGCCGCTGCTGCTCTGATCTCCTCCAAGCAGTTGGTTTTATCCCTGGATTAGAAGTACACTTAGCTCCGCTGTCTAGTGCTCTGAAACCCTCGTTTTGCGTAATTCACTCCGCAGATCCACCCACCGTTCGTCGTTCTCGTCACACCGTTTACGAAAGTGCGACTGTTTTTTACTGCGGCCATGACGCTCACTCCGCTGCACCCGCTGGACCCGAAGAGTGTTCGACACGTGGCTGCTGCAGCAGCCAAATCGCCGTTCCTCCGAGGTCCTGGCACAACTTTCCATACCATGTCGGATTGTGCGATCCCGGATAGTCCCGTCAGAAGCGGCTCTTTGCCGCGACGGCACCATCATCACCATCACGGCCTCCAGGTGGATGTGGATCCGATGATCGAGGAGGCATGGGAGGCCGCCGTTCATTCTTTCTCGGTACGCCGCTGCTTCACACGTCGGCGAGTCCTAGACATGGCTCTTGCTACTGCCTGTACGAGAGCTCTCTTGTTCTTATACAGCCATTTCAGGTTCTGAATTGACGTTCCGATCTCCCTGTTTTTTGCAGGATTTTCAGGGAGCGTTTCACGGACCGTCAAAGGCGATCAAGGAGGGAGGAGCTTCCTTGGCGAGGAAGGCACACGAGGTCGGGGAGGCTGTCTGGAAGACACTCGAACCGACCAACCTTCCTTGGTCCAGGGAGCAATCTCCACGGGAGTCTCCACGCGGTCATCACTGATATAGTGACCATTGAGTCACCCGTCACCTCACTTATACAAGGCGCCTTCCTGCAAGGCTGGCGTCTCTGCATACTATGCCAGACAGACACCCATCTGTATATACCATCACTCCAGCGGCTGCTGGTGACATACGGTTGTTTTCACGTCTTGTACAAAGGCTGTAAATAGTTTATCCTGGAGTGATTTTTCCCTCAAAATGTTGGGAATATCCATGAGTGAAACAGGCCACTTTAGTTCTGTGCTGTGCTCTATAATGGAACTAAATTTGTTACTTTCATTTTTTACCGTTTTTTTAGCTCGAATGGCTCAATTTGAACTGCAGCAAAACAAACAAAAAAGTTCCTAAACACAAAGTGGGGACAATCCCGCACAGGCAACCCTACAATTCTATCGGACACCAGGGTAGGGTGCCTGGAGCAATGTTAGAGAGCATGGGCAAAAGCAGAGCAGGTGGGCAGGCAGGGGTGGGCAGGCAGGGGACCAGTACAAGCTGCAACACAGAGGGTACACAAATGCCCCCATGCTACAAATCAAAAACACCACCGCAGCTGACCCACACATCTCCAGGCCAGGTACAACTGGCACTCAGTGTGAGGAACAACAGCCACGTTTAATATGCACCAGAACCCCTTGCACTCCCACAATGTCTGCCTCAGTACGTGCCACTCCAGCTCTGCTGGGAGCGTTGCGCCTGCGCTTGCTGTTGCTGCTGCTGCTGCTGCTGGTAGCTACCAGCACCACCCCCAGCAGACCCGCCAGCACCGCCAGCGCTACCACCCATGCCCTGCGACTGCAGCAGTTGCTGGTGGGAGTGCCCGTGCACATGGCCCGAAGGCCCTCCGGGGCCTGACTGGGAAGCATGGTATAATCCCGCAGTGGCGGCGGCGGCTGCTCCGTATGCTGCTGCAGGGTGTGTGGCATGGGCGCCTGGTGCCTGGGGATGGCTGTGTGTGGCGGATGGGTAGCCCCCTGCATGACCAGCTTGTCCTGGTGCAAGGTTGTAGTACGACGATGTAGGCATGCCTGCTGCAACTGCTGCTGCAGCCATGTCTCTTGACACCTGCCCACAACAAGACAATGCGTCGCGCACACCGGGAGACGGTGAAGAAACGGAATGGGGACTAAGGAATTGGACAGAGGGACAACAACACACAAGACCGGCACCAACGGGTCAAAGGAGAGCCATACGAGTGATCAGCCAACCAGAGATGAACCATACCTGCTGGCCTTGCAGGTATAGGCTGCTGGCGTCCTTGTACTGGCTGCCCCCCACATCCTCATACCCGCCACTGCTCGTCCCGCCTGCTGACATCCCAGGCCCACCACCATAACCCCCAGCTGCCCCCGGATACGCCCCATACGCCGCTGCCCCTGCAGTCAAGTGCCCTGTGCCCGCAGTGGAACCTGCCGTTTTATACCCTGCCGGCATGGGGTATTTCGCGCCTGCGACTGTGCCGGGCGGGTACGATGAGCCTGCTGCCGTGGGGTATGAGGGATTGCCAGGCGCTTGTGGGTATGTGGACGAGGGGGTAGCGTAGCTGGGGTGAGAGTAGGGCGAGTGCATGGTGTAGTAATTGGGCGGCACAGCATACTGCGCATAGCCTGCATAGTTGATCCCGTAATGCGCCCCCATGGGAATGCCTGCTGGCTGGGCCGCATATGCAGCTGCAGCCGCCGCATGCATGGGAACAGGCTGCTGCTGCTGCTGCTGCTGCTGTTGCTGCTGCTGCTGCCCTTGCTGAGGCTGCCCCTGCTGCGGTTGCTGCTGCGACTGCTGCTGAGGCTGCTGCTGCTGCGGCTGCTGCTGCTGTGCCTGGGGCTGCTGCTGCTGCGCCTGCTGCTGGGAGAGACCGGCAGAGTGAGAGGAGCCCTGCCCCATGGAAGGAGCACCCACAATGCCCAAGCTGCTCGATGTCTGCACACCCTCACGGGGAACAAGGCAGGCAGGGCAGGGTAATAGGGCCACATGAGGCGCGACAAATGATACAGCTGAGACGAAGTACCCCAGGGTAACGGCACCCATCAGATTCTCAAGTTGAACTTTTCGTAAGAGGAAACAGGTTAAACGCCAGTGAGCGCACTGCATATATTGAGTTTAAGCACCCTATCTTCTACAAGTCACATATGGGATTGTTCGGTTACACTTTCAAAACCCACACAACCACCTCTCTTCCTTTCAGCACTTCCCACCCTGTCTTCCATATCATCACATCCTCCTTCACGCCCCTCCCACCCACACACACATACGCCCATGCACCGATGAGCACGTCCGAAGTCCCCAGCTTACCTCTTGAGAAGGCAGTCCCTGCCCTGCACCAGCCGTCCCGTACTTGGCACCCAGAGCAGATCCCGACGAAGTCACGAACGGCGAGTAACGCATTTCGCCGTCGCCACTCGGCCTGAACGCGGGCGAGTAGTAGCTGCCAGGCGGGTCGCTGTACTGTTGCTGCGGGAACGAGAAGGGGGGAGACCACGACGGTAGAGGGAACAGCGACACAGGGAGGTATAAGGGGCAAAAAACCTGACGCAGGAGGCAGGAAATGGCGTGCGGGAAGAAGTGCGAAAATAAAACATGGGTGCTCTGGACCAAAAAGCAGCGCAAGCGAAGAATACGCACGAACAAAAATACACTGAGCGGGGTGCATGAGGGGGCAGGCGAAGGATAACGTGTGATAGGCGCTCAAGGCGCTCAAGAGAAGAAGGGCATGCTTACCAGTCCCACGGACGTAAAGCGGGAAATGTCTCCTGCGACTTGAGGCTCTGACGCGTCGTATGCAGGATATTGCCCCGCGGGCATCTGCGGGACCAGACCAAACGCGGGGTAATTCTGAAGCGCAGGCACATACGGATACGCGGAAGGCTGCTGCTGCTGCTGATGCTGCGGCTGCTGCTGCTGCGCCTGCTGCTGCTGCGCCTGTTGCGCCTGCTGCTGCTGCTGCTGCTGCAGCTGCGACAGCTGCTGCAGCTGTTGCTGCTGCGACAGCTGACTCTGCGCCTGCTGCTGCGGCTGCTGCTGGACCTGCGCTGGCTGCTGCTGCTGGGGCTGGACAAGCGGAGCTTGAGGGGCGATCGCCTGCTGAGCTTGAGTCTGCTCAGCCAGCGGCTGCTGCTGCTGCTGCTGCTGCGGCTGCTGCGGTTGCTGGGCAGCAACCACAGGAGCCTGCGCCTCCTGCAGCATCGGCTGGGCAGCAGCTGCTGGCGCCTGCTGCGCGGCCGCCGCCGCGGCAGCAGCCGCAGCCTGCGCAGCAAACGCTGCAGCCTCCGCCTGCTGGCTAGGGAGCGACTCCGCCACACCAGCCTGCGCCTGCTCCTCCTTCGCCTGCGCCTGCTGCTGCGGGACGGGCAGATCCTCCTCGTGCTTGGCGGGCTCCACCTGCTCCACGTCCACGATCGCAGCGTGCTCCTCCTTCGCCTCCTGCTCCTGCTCCTGCTCCTGCTGCTTCTCCTGCTCCGGCTCCTGCTGCTCCGTCGCTTGCGCAGCAGCAGGCTGCGAAAGCAGACTGGTCGCGGCGGACGGGGGCGTAGGGGAGGACACGCGCGTGCGGAGAGGAAGAGAGAAATAGGAAGAGAGGGGTGCGGGGAGTGGCAAGAAGGGAAATGGGGGAGAGAAGGGAAAGACAGGGATTTCAAACAAAAATCAGTTTGATGACGCATTTGGAAGGCGGGAGGTAACTGCTAGTGTAACGGCCTTGAGAGCTGGAAAACAACGAAATCAGCAGAACATCGGAAGCAGAGGAGAACAACGATTACACACAAGGGGAAAAAAAACTACTGACCTTGACGAACCGACAGCGTCACCGGTCTTGCTGGCGGACAGCGCGTCCGCACCAAAGCCAGTCCCGAAGGACGTGCCGAACCCAGCTCCGAAGCTGCCGAAGCTGAGGCGCGTCTGGTCAGCCTCGGGAACGCGCAGATGCCCGGGAATGATGACAGGCTTGTCGTCCTGCAGGCCCAGACTCTGCAGCTTGCTCGCCGCTGCCGCCACGCCTGACCGATCCTCTGAACGGAAACATCAAACACACACACACACACAGGCGCACGCAAGAAAAGGCTATGGATGAAGGCACTGGTTCCGGTGAGGAAGGCACGGGTGTTTCTAAAACGACAAATCCACGTTTAAACTGATTCTAAAGTCAAGGACCTAGGGAATACCTGGAGCCGCAACAGCTGCCTCCGGTTCCTGCGCGGGAGTGACCGCCACGACGTCGGCTGCAGCAGCAGCGGGAGTGCCAATCGATCCAAGAACAGACTGCTGCTGCTGAGGCGGCTGCTCCGCCACCTGCTGCTGTGCCTGCAGGCCCGTGCCAGCAGCCGGAACGGCGTCTGCCGCATCGCTCACAGAAACCTGAGCCGCGCTAGAATCGGGCTGCTGCTGCTGCTGCTGCTCTGCCACCAGGGTAACTCCCGGCAGTTGAGTCGCAGCAGCGTCGCTACCATCGGCCGCTTCGGCGGCCACGCTCGCCGGCGGCAACCGCTCTCCGATTGGCCTCTGCGGGCCTACTGTGCCCACGTCTCTCTTACTCTGCGGATGCAGTACCGGATCTGCTGCAGACGAGTACAAACTCGGCGCCGTGACGGCTGACGCCATGGTTGCCGCGAGATACGGAGTGGGTGCGGGGGGGCCGGTAACAACGGGTGCGGCTGGCTGCGGAATAGGCGCGTGCGCCTGCAAGGTCGGTGCCGGCGCGGGTGCCGGCGCAGGCGGAGCTTGCTGTGCTTGCTGCGCGGCGGCGGAAGACTTGAGCATATCCGCCATAGTCGTTCCGCCGCCGCCCCACAGCGAGGCTCCGCCAGGACGAGAGTAGAGCGAGCCTCCCGCAGGGGCAGGCTGACCAGGTAGGCTGTCAGGGGGGGCAAACGCAAAAAAATGATGAACGCACAAAAACGACAGATTCAGTCGAGACGAAATTCTAAAAAGGTCGTAAAACGCGCGAAGATCGAGCCAGAAAAAAGCGGCAGCAAGAGGAGAGCTGGGCGGAATATGTCTAATTCTTGAAACACGCCACCCAACAAGCCGAGCAGTTAGAGCCAGGGACGAGACGAAACGAACCTTGTAGATTGATTCGCACCCACAGCCGCCGAAACAGGCTGGCCCGGTGCAGCGCCAGGTACGCCGGTGACGTACGCTCCCCCACCACTGCAATCGCAAAAGCGCGCAAGAGATAACAAACGCATGTCAAACAACGGAATAACCGTCTCACAGAAGAAAACAAGACGGCGTGAAGATCGGTCAGAACGCGACAAGTTATAAAGCCCACCTTGGTGCTCCGACTCCCAGAACTGGGCCCCTTTGCTGAGGATAGCCGGAAAACCCTCCCGGTGCACCAACAGGAGCTACGCCATACCCTGGAGCCGGGGCCCCAACCACGGGGATGTAACCAGGCCCGCCGGGGGCTCCTGCCCCGCCAGGTCTAGAGCTGGGATGAATCCCGTTTTCTCGTTGCGGCATCGGCCGTCCTCGCCCACCGCCATAGTCTGTCATTCGCGTGTGGGGATACACCGGCGGGATTGGACAGAGCAAAATCAGGACCAAAGGTGTAGGCTTCGTTCGACAGGCTCACGGAAATACGCGGGTACACAGTCGGACTGCCGGTCGACGAGCTAAGCTTCAAGGGGTTAAAAAAAAAGGGAAACACAAGAAACAGATAACAGGCAGGAACTAGAGCCCCGTACCTGGGCGGTTAGAACCGCGATCTGATCCACCGCCTCCTCTACCCCCGCCCCTTCCAGCTCCACCCCTAATTCTGACCTCACCACCATCCTGCAGATTCATGTACGGGAGAACAGTAGTGTGTTCACAAGTGTGAGAACCATGACAGACAGGCATGGAAGGTTCGGAAGCTATGACAGCTATGCCTAGGATGAGGTGACGACTTGCTTTCACAACAGATTGACGATCTGATACAACGTTGTTGATAGAAGCAAATTACCTCTTTCTTCTTCCCCTTCTTCCGCCTCACTTCATGGAAGGGATCTGATGTATCCACGCAATAGGCACAAAGAAATAGAGAAAAACATTCAGTTTCGCGGCGGATCTGAGAGCTACGATATCTGAGCTTATAAAAACGACGAATTCGGCCTTAAGACAAGTTTTTGTCACACAACGCCAAGCGGAAGTAAGCACACACCTTGATTCAACAACCTCTGAGCAGCCTCGTTCGGATCCATATTACACTCTTTCAACGCTGTGTATATTTCCTCCTCCGTGTTTGACACGATTTCCTTCAATTCTTGCACGATCTTTTTAGCACTTGGCGGAATCATAACGCTTGTGCTTCCTAGCCCTCGGCCAACTGGCCGGGACGTCTGTGAAACTGATCGGGACATGGCTCTGAACTGGTGTCACAAGGCTGACGGAGCTTATTGCTAGATCTCAAAAACTAGTGTATGGTTGGAGGGAAAAAGGGTTAGTGGCGTGTTCTGGGTGTGAGGGAGAAGAAAGAAAGCAGTTGGGGTTGGGGAGTGAATGAAGGGGACGAGGTAGGGGAAGAACAGAAGAGGTAAGGGAGGAAGGCTGCCGCTAGAAGGAGTTCTCTAAACCCCAGCCAAGATTTTACCTGTCACGCTGGTCCCTGACCTAAATGTTCCTCTGAGGGTTACCAGACCTGAGGCCTTTCGGTTTGTCGAGAAAACAAACGTGCCGAACGAGTACACGTGGCCCACTAGGGTCCTAAAACTGACCTGACGCCGTGTGGGTGACAGAGAAGCGGCTCCTCGTCGTAATCTGAAACTCTGCTTCGGGCAAAGGAAAAGGCGCGAGATTACGCTCGGCAGACAGCTTCGGCGTTCAGGCTCAGATTTGTTGGAAATGGGCTGTTCAAAGGCTCAACTTCGGCCAACCTCGAGAATGGCAAACGGGGATGGTGCATTTCAGTTTACATCCCTTCATAAGACATATACCTTATGCACTCATTACTAACGGTAAGGAAAATTCCTTTCCCTTACTCCGCATCCCTGCTTACCGCGTACATGCCCGTTCCCGCCATCGGCACCCATCCATGAACGTTACCCATTCACGACATTCGCCTCGACCACGACTCCCGCCACTGTTCACGACGCGACCCAACCTAACGGTTCGGTTGGTAACCCGCGCTCCGAACCTCCGCCTCGACAATTCTCCAAACCTCGGCGCTAGGCCCGTAGCGCACCCCAATTTCCCACATTACCGTTACCACGCTAGCTTCGCTATATAACTTCGCTCATGCCTTTCGCTCAACTGGATTGATTGCTTCGATAGTGCAATTCTCACTCACTCGTTCAATTGCACTCGTAACACTTGGTATCAGAGCCTATGATCTCCTCTCTGACCGCACCCACACCTTCGTTACCCCACTATCTCAATTTTTTGGAGGGGGTAGATGTCTCTCAGCGTAAAAGCACCGCCGCTCGACGTGCTCTCTCGTAAGCACGCACGGCCACGACAGAGGCTCTCGCTGAGTTTGCCCGACACCCCCACCATGGCCGAAATTACTCTTTCGACATTGACGCAGGAGCAGCTCGACCGTCTCGTGCGCCAACTCGAAGATTCGGCGCTCGAAATCGCGACACTCACGGCGGAACGTGACTCCGCCCGCCAGCAATCAACGGTGAATGTACCATCACCAACACAAGCACCTGCAAATGCACCTGCGCAATCGGAAGAGCCGATTGTTATCTCATCCAGCACACCGTCACAACATGACAGCGTGGGACAGCGCTCAGGCGCAGCCAGTGATGGCGCCGCCCAATTAATGCCTGGCATGGGGAGGAACAGGGTCGCACCAAGCACGAGCGGGCCTCGCGAAGCTCGTCGTCACGTTGAGTTTGCGGCGACCATCGGCAACAACGACATCGTCGCGCCAATGCCGCTCAAACCGCAGCGCCCGCCCTGCTTCGACCCGAGCCAACGTGGAGGTCCGACGGTTCAATCGTGGGTCTTCACGATGAACGTGTTCTTCGACGCAAATTACGTCGAGTCGGACGCAGCGAAGATTCGATACGCCGTTTCGCTGCTAAGGGGCCCCGCCATGGACTGGTGGCGAGTCATCGTGACGTCGCCACGCGCCTACGAGCCACCGCCGCAAGAGGAAGAGCCCACGGGTCCAGCCGTCACCTGGAGTTCGTTCTGCGAAACCGCCCAGTATAGCACATGGGATGCGTGGTGCGCAGGGCTTCGAGCGCGCTTCGAGCCGATCGCGGCTTCTATTTCGGCGCGTCAGAAACTGCGTACTTGGCGACAACTTGGGTCGGTCCAAGACTACACCAGCGGTTTTCTCGCATTATGCGAGCAGGTCGGCTACATGCACGAAGCGGAGCGGGTGGACCGTTACGTCGGAGGGCTGAAGCCAGATATCTCGCACGAAATCATGCTACGCGGGCTCTCGAACTTCAACGAGATCCTCGCGCTCGCCGAGAAAATCGACATTTTGCGCCGTCCGAGACCGGGGTCCTACTACGGACAACGTCCTCGGGGACCGATCGAGCACGCCACTGTACACGCCGTTGCAGCGAATGCAGCTGCCGCGCCATTTAAGGGGCGCTGCTTTGCTTGCAATAGGCCGGGCCATCGCAAGAGCGAATGCCCAGAGGAGCTGAGACGCCGCGGAGCAGAGCAGGGGAGGGAATCTCAGAGGCAGGGAAATGCCAGCAGTCAGTAGAAATCGGGCCAACTACTGACGAGACGACCTGCTCGCCCAACCTCACCGACCCTCACCGAGTCACAGTACCGATTCATGCTATCGATCGGGCTCGGATGAATAAGGAGGGTACAGCGACGGATTGCCCAGTATTGATTCACGGGAAAATACAGGGAGCCGCAGTGAAGATTTTTATAGACGGAGGAGTAAGCCACAGCTTAGTTAATACCGCAACCGCACGGAAGCTGCAACTGACACTTAGTCCGTGTTTACCGGAGATAGATGCACGCTTAGTCGACGGCACGCCGCTGGCCATACGGGAGAAAGTAGAGAGAGTAAAATTCCGCTGCGGGGGGAACTTTGGGTTTACACAGGAAATGCTCGCGACGACACTGGATGGGCACGACATTTTACTGGGACGTGACTGGCTGCAATGGTATAACCCGCGAATCGACTGGACGACGGGCAGCTGCACTGTGCGAAGTAGCGATAACTGGGTTTTGCTACCACACTAGCAGTCGCCCGAGTCTTCAACGGTCTACGTTAACGCCATCACGATGAAACGGGCTGTCGCCGCTGGAGCTGACGTGTACGCAGTAGATATAGCATTGGTAGGAGAAGCAGAGCAGCCGAGTGATTTTCAGAAACTGCTGGCAGCGGTACCGCCCGAACTACAGGAACTGTTGAAACGATACCCGGGGATTTTTCCGGACGATTTACCAGAGGGACTGCCACCTCAGCGGGCACACGACCACCGAATAGAGTTAGAACCAGGGGCACAGCCAGCCGTACAGCGACAGTTCAGACTGACACAACCCGAGCTCGACAAACTGAGGAAGCAGTTAGATTACCTGTTAGAGAAGAAATTCATCCGACCGAGTTCATCACCGTTCGCCGCACCGATACTGTTCACACCGAAAAAGGACGAGGGTTTTCGCATGTGCATCGATTACAGAGCACTGAACAGGGTTACAGTCAAGTCGCGATACCCCATTCCCCGCGTCGACGAACTGATAGATCAACTGCGAACAGCACGGGTTTTTTTTTTTCGAAAATTGACTTACGTGGAGGTTACCACCAGATTCGGGTCGAACCATCGGACTGCGTAAAAACGGCATTTAGAACTAGGTACGGGTCATTTGAGTACACCGTGATGCCATTCGGCCTGACCAACACACCGGCGACATTTCAGATGACCATGAACGAGGCGTTTAGGCCACTCTTAGATAAATGCGTGATATTTTACCTCGACGACATCCTAGTCTACAGTCGTGATAAGCAGCAGCACTTAGCAGATCTGGAAGCAGTATTTAAAGTTTTAGACGAGCACAGACTACTGAATAAGGGTTCCAAGTGCGAGTTCTTCCAGGATAGGTTAGAATTTTTGGGGCACGTTATTTCGGAGGCTGGAGTTGAGATCGACCCAAAGAAGCTGGACACGGTAAAAGCGTGGCACCCCCCGACGAACATCACGGAGCTGCAGAGTTTTTTAGGGTTCGTTAATTATGTACGTCGGTTCGTCCCCGACATGGCACAGTTAACTGCCCCGCTGACGGATTTACTGCGGAAGGGGGTCGCCTATACGTGGGGGGAGAAAGAGCATGCTGCCTTCTCTGCCCTGAAAAATGTTCTCTGTTCACCGCCCGTCATGCGCATCGCCGACCCACACCGCCCATTCGAAGTAGTTACAGACGCAAGCGACATCGCCATTGGAGCCGTACTGCTACAGGATTTCGGCAACGGTTTACAGCCCATCGCATACGAGTCACGAAAACTGCATCCGCCCGAGAAGAATTACCCGATACACGACCGCGAAATGCTCGCGATCGTGCATGCGTTCAAAGTATGGCGCTGTTACTTGACCGGCGCAGACGTGACAGTACGGACAGACCACAAATCACTACAGTATCTACGTGCACAGCCCCACCTCAACCCACGACAGATCCGCTGGCTCGATTTCCTCGAGTCAAATTTCCACAATACGGTCACCTACAAAAAAGGGGCATCAAACATTGCCGACGCACTGCCCAAATCCACGCCATACTACTCGCCCAGACCAGCCCGTTACTGACAGGACTATTTACCCACGGCTATCAAACCGACCCGTTCTTCACAGGAGGAAATTCGCAGCAGTTCGCAGCAGCA